CAACTCACATCCCGAATCTCGTACTGAATCTCTCTTCATATTTTACAACCACTCCCATAAGTCATATAAAGACAATTGACAGCCCAATCAATTCCTGATGAATAAAGTCAAGTTCTGCCCTAAATATCCTGTTCAAATGTCACAAAAATTACTTACTGGCATGCTGTTTTAGTAAAGTCTCAACTTTGAGACTTGTCTTTGATCATTGAAAGCAATAGAGAAGAAGAACTGACAGAATAATGTGTTATTATTCAGTAAATAACAGGAAACTACATTTAATCTTTATCTGCAAGGACATCTCATGACAGATGATAAATCTTGGTATTTCTTTAATTTAACTTTTACATCACAGAGGTGAGGGCATGGGTCAAGCTCATGGTTTTTGAGGCAGCAAATCATGTGGTTTCTAATCCTCCATGCTCTCATTTGCCACACTCTTCATTAAGATTCTGTGCAAATACATCTTTACAACTTTACATTTTAACCAAAATTGCACTTTCTATGCTTTTTGTTTATAGTTGCAATCTCTGTAAGTCAGTACCGCCATCTTAAAAACGATGCGTCACATTCTCTCTTTTCAATATTACTGCACATGGCTACATTTTCATATAAATTTTATATCAAATTTATTTTGTGCAAATTTTACTTAATTTTTAAAAATTTAATTATATAAGCAGGCTACTTTTTAAAATAATTACTTATTTTAAAAATAAGTGTTCTTCAAGTAGGCTATCCGAAAGTTTACCGACAATCATAGTTTTCAGTAATGATTTTAGTAGTTTTTTTTAGTAATCATGGTTTTTCTTTTTTCCTCAGCATTATTGCTGTTTGATTACGGCAAAGAAGGAGCGCGTGTAATTTAATTGCGCCCTTCCTGCGTTTAAGTGCGAACTGTAGTTTCGATTTGAGGAATTGGCCTGCTATAAACTATTGGCTGTGCTAATTAGAAGGCGGCCACAGCTGTTTTCACTTTAGTCTTTTAGACGGTTTATTTACCTGATGTCTGTGCGCTGACGCGGAAGCGTTCAGGCCTCCTTGTGTGAAGACCAACGAGTGTAAAGACCTGCGACTTTACCTGCGCGACTTCACCGA